TGCTACTGCTGGTCGTGTCAACACAGTGTGACTTTGGGAGTGTGGGGTTAGAGCGAGCCCGAGAGCGAAGCGAGGTGGCGAAAAATGCAGAGGTGGAGTATGCGGGTGCTGTGAGTGGAGCACGGTAGAGTTCCTTGAAATGGCAGGCGAGACCCAAGTGGTGTCAGGGCCATGAAAGGGGACAAGAAAAGTGTCAGAGCCAGAGTAGGCCAGGCGCCCCAGCAGAAGCCCCAGCTGGGGCACTCGGAAATGGAGTGCGGAGTCAAAACGGAACAGGTTGCATGGGCCGGGAATCGAACCCGGGCCTCCCGCGTGGCAGGCGAGAATTCTACCACTGAACCACCCATGCACTGACGGTAGTGTCTTGGGGCGCGTCCAGTAATCCTCCTTCGCCTCCAGTCGGGGAAAACTGGTTACCTCCTGTCTCTGGAGAGCATCTGTCCCATTTGAGCGGGAGATGGCGACCCTAAAGAGGCCCCAGACACGTCGAAGGCCCGAGGACGTGGCGCCCAGCATATGGGGAAGGGATGGACGGAGGGACAGAAGGACCCTCCGGCGGACTAGGCTGGCCCATCTGCAGTTTCTCGGCCGTCGGAGGAGGCCAGGAGCAGGAGGAAGCCTGGCCCGTGTCCGGATCGCCATCTGGGCAGGTGATGTGTGTGGGAGCTGCCCAGCGCCGACGTTCCCTTCTGCGACCCCCGGCCCCGACCCAAAGTCCGTTTAGCAGCCGGCTTTCTTGCGGTTGCGGTGTGGCCGGTGGGGCCGGGCCGCGCTGGCGCCGAGTGCGGCCCAGGGCGGAACGAAGGTGCGTGAGCTTGACTTATGCGGTTAGAACCACGGCTCTCCTTCCGGGTCCCGCCCTGGGGCGAAGGTGCGAGGTGGAAGCGTGACGCTGGTTCGGAGGGGACCTTGGGTAGAGACAGAGGCTGAAGGACCCTCCAGGCTCTTTCTGCCGCGCAACGCCGCGGGTGAGCTGAATGAAGTTTGCAGAGGTCGCAAGGGTGCCAGCCATGAAAGGATAGTAAGACAAGAAACAGCAGCAACGACTTTTGTCGCAAGACCAAAAGGTCAGACCGTTGTCAGGAGTGGGATTCGAACCCACGCCTCCAGGGGAGACTGCGACCTGAACGCAGCGCCTTAGACCGCTCGGCCATCCTGACCTCCGCCGTCGACGCGTCGCCAGTGCCCTGGCTGGGACTCGCCGACAGACACCCGCGCTTTGGCCCCCGGCGCGGCGGCCCGCGGACGGCCGTCTGGGTGCGCGAGGACACGGACGCGCGCGGGCGACCCGGAGCAAAGCCAGTCAACTCCCCTGGCTCCGACACCGTCCCCACCCGCGCCTCTCGCGGCGGATCGCGGCACGACGCGCGCGCACCTCCAGGCCCTCGCAGCCTCGCTCGCCCTCTCGCGCCTCTTCCGCCGCGCGCGCCAGGCGTCCGAAGCAATAAGCAGCGCGCCCTGGAGTTTTCAGCAGCGTCCGGGTCCGGGTCCGGGTCCGGGTCCGGGTCGGTGTCGGTGTCGGGCCCCCGCCCGCCGTCTGTTTTGTTGGAAGACGCGGCGGGTTTGGTGTCGGGTCGGGCACGAGCCGCGCTACCGTGTCCGAGGAGTGCGGGCAATCGGTAGGCGGCGACAGTCAGCTTCAGAGCGGTCGGGGCCGAAGTCCCCACCGCCATCCTCGTTAGTATAGTGGTGAGTATCCCCGCCTGTCACGCGGGAGACCGGGGTTCGATTCCCCGACGGGGAGGCCCGAGCTCTCTTATTTTGGTGGCTGGCGCCGCCCTCGGTCCGGCCGCTCGCTCCCACGAGCCCGTCTTCTCTTCCCTCCGTCCTGCAGCGAGTTCCAGGACCCCGACCGGGGCCCGGTGTCTCCCAGAACGGTCACCGCCTTTGGCCTTCCTCCCCGCAGGGCGCCCGGTCGCCACAGCCGACCTGGGACCTCTCGTCCCCCCAGCGCCTGCCGACCGGCCGCCGCGCCTAGAACGGCTGGCGGAACGGGCTCCTTGCGACGCGACGCCACGCGACGCGGGCGGAGGCGGGTGAGTGTGTCCTGCCGGTGCGTGCAGCGGCCTGGCCTGGCCCGCGGTGGACACGGGGTCCGACGAGCCAGG